AGTTAATACCATTTAGAAGTGCAGGCTTTAGGAGGTAATTTTAGGTTCAGTCCCATATAAAAGAGACCTGAGGGGACTTTAGGCCCTTTTGGACCCTCTGTCTCCTGCTATGTAAGGTTGCATAAGAGTATGCTATCTACAAGAGCAGATTCCTCACCAGATTCTGAATATGCCAGTGCCTTGATCTTGTGTATGTCAAGCCTTTGAGGCAATAAGAAAAAAACTTCTGTTTGTAAATAACTTTGCCTAAGAGGGTTTGTTCTAGCAACCCACATGAATTGAAACTCATGTCCATTAACACTACAGCTTCTCTGGGGAAAATAATAATTTGGACAAATGATACATAGACTCATGTAGCTATGATAGCTTTTGTTTCCTTGAGTATAAATGTGATAGAAATTCCCCAAGTATCATCTAGCAAATAGTTGAATCATTAACACTATAATATAAATTAGAATCCAATAAGTAAATAAAACATCACTTAGTCTCAAAACATCATATCCGAATAAAATCTAGGCAGTATGAACTGTTATCTATATTTAATTCAAAATATTAGTGCTGCAAATTTCAAAATGGCACGTGGAAAGAGCAGCATCTTTTCTACCATAATAAGAACACATTGAGAAGAGAGAAGGAAGACAGAATTTCTTGGAAATTGATCTAGCTGCAGCCATTGTTGTGAGCTTGCCAGTAAAGTCTTTTGTAAATGTCTAATCAAAGATAATGCAGAGATGAATACAAAGAGATGCATGCCCCCCCAAAAGTACACACTACGTTGAACCAAAAAAATACACTGAGATTCTCCAACGTTTAGATTCTAAATACTTGTATTTAGGATCCTAAGACACAGCACTTAAGCTTGTTATCACCAAACCTGCCTCTCCTCTCCATCCCTCCAAAACTACAAAAGGTCTCTTCATGTAGCACTTTCTATCTTAATGTTGGCTTTTCATCTCAGAATGCCAATATACTTCTGAGAAATCATCTTAGTAATCCTCTTAAGAGACAGATTTCTTGTCTTTTAAATATCTTCCTGAAGTTCAGAATCAGCTAGGTAAAAAAGTTAATTCCTACCCTTCCTACTTCCCTACACCTTTAGCCCTTTTCTTCCTGTTTCACATTATCAGTTATACCATTAGGATCTAATGAACAATTATAGTTTTTCACACCAGAGAAAAACCAATGATGAATGTAACTGTACTGTATACCTAAAATGTACCAATAAACTCAATGAAAAAAAAAAAGCTAATTCCTTTGTACATCTGCAGCATTTGTCTACATTGGGGTCTCCAAATGATTCCTAGAATTATCTAATTATCCTTTGCAATATCCCTCAGAGAGATACAGGCAGGGAGTGATACTGATTCTATTTTTGAAAGGAGTATAGCTAATGATTTATTTCACAATGAGGTGGCTTAACCTATACCTACATCTTCTAGAAACCTCTGTTCTACTGTAAAGAGAAGACATTTAGTGACTAAAATAGCATTCTGTCAAATTAAAGGTATAAGAGGGTGGAATGGTGTCACAGGTGCATCTGAAGTGATAAAATTCCACATGAATCACTTCTCCCCTTGGCAGGTGACAACTACCTTCACAGTTTAGTTTCCAGGAGGTGTTCTCTGGGATACCAGTCTTGTGCAAACCTTCTGGGGAAAACTGTGGCCAAATAGTTTGAGAAAATACAAATAACATTCCCCCCCTTTAAAGAGTCAGAACATATGTGTATTTTTTCTACCTAACATATTTTTAAAATATTTTTTCTTGTATACTGTTATTCATAAACTGGGTGAATCAGAAACAAGAGTGTACATTTACATGGGCATTAATCCTAGGCAAAAAGACAGATGCTAGTGTTCTCTCAAAGATCCTGCCTTCTAATTCTATCACGCTGGAGATTTATTTCACTTTAGGAGTTTGTGGAGGACACAAATATTCAAACCGTTGCGCATGTGTTAAGCGTGCAATTGTCAATACAATAGAAATTGTTACTATATCTGGATTCTTGGATCCAGAAGTGGTAGAAAGTAGACCAGATGCATAGAAATACAGCCAGAAGTAAGGCTATAATGGGAGTTCTGCATGAGCAAGAAGGGAGACACAGCAGAGAGACCAAGAGCAAGTCAGGGCAGTGACCTCCCAAAGGAAAAGGGATCCCTAAAATTGGAAATTGCCCCCCCTTTGCATCCAGGTCCTCCATGTAAAATAAGGGATCCAAACTCATAGAGAGTGTCCAGGTCTGATGGTCAATCTCTGGGTTGAGCTGCAGGCAATCCCTGAGTTGGCTCTGACTACCAGGCAGGATTTCAGGATTCAGACACATGCATGTATATTAGTTGGATAGTTTGTAGCTGCTGTATTTTTCATTCTGGGGCTGCATGTGAGTTCCCATTGATGTCCTTGTTTTGTTCTGCTATAAAAGTATAAAGCAGTAATAATCCCTCTGGGGCCCTTCCCTACATTTAATCATTCTGTTCCCTTTTGGGTGGCCTCCAACTGTCTCATTATCTCTGTTAAGGGACTTTCAAGATAAGAGATTATTATGACAAATTTTTATGTGGATTTCCACCTGATTATAGAGCTAGGCACTGTTTCCAAAATGATTATAAGTCAGTATTTTCTTTGGTTTGGATCATAGACCCAGCAATCTCTGAAGCGATCCTCAAAACTCAAGCTAGAAAACAGAAAGCCCCTGGACTATGCTACTAACCTGTGTTCTGTTGTAATTAACACCCTCTAAAGCAAACAACAACAAAAATGCAGTACTAAGTTTTTCTGTTAAGATGAAGTATCTTCCCGGAACACAAATATTCTTTTAGGGCATTCCACGTTCTTTTGAATAAACTTCAACCCAGACATCGAGATTCTTCCCAAAGAGCAGATTAGGAGGCTCTGTTAACTCTGTCAGTGCCTGCCTTCTTGAAATCTCACCAAGATTTCTATTATTATTGTTTTGCCCTGGGCTTTAGACTTTGTAAAAGTCAGCTGTCATTTTCAAAGCAATCCAAAATAGCACACTCAACAGATCCCTGGAGCTTTGGAAATGTTAATGTTCTCCTTCAGCAGTGACCTTGCCACAAGGAAATGATTTAGGCCCTAGGGAGAAAGGGGCCCACTATCTTTCTCACACTGGTTTACACCATCAACTTTAGAAACTGTGTGAGAGAAGAATAATCAATAGTGTGTTAAGAGCAATCTTGGGGAATGCAAAGGCAGAGTACTCCTTCTCTGCAAAATGCTGTGTTGAAGGAGAACTTTTGAATGCAACAAAAGAGAAATTAGCTGTAGTGGTAAAGCAAAATGAATTGTGTCTCAAGATGGAATTTGTCTCTGGGAATGGCGCTCAAGGGCTCTCTGCATACTTCAGTGAGATCACATAATATGCATGATGAAAAAAGTTTATTTTATAGCTAAACAGCCAGGAATCAAATAACAAAACCAGAACAAATGCATTGTAAATATACACATGCCAGTTAAGCATTCACTCACATCGATAGTCAGGAATAGTTTACTGAAAAAAGCCATTTAAAAGAATCATCTTTGTACAAATGTAAGAGAGACATTCTCAAACTATTACCGAATTTCAGAAAATCCTGGAAATATATTCTCTCTTGATAAGTGACAGAATAGAGAGCTTGTAATGCCAGTAAACGAGGTGCTTCCACAGCACTCTGAATGAAGCCCTTTGGGAAAAAAAATGTCTATTCAGTCCCTAAGTTCATTACAATAAAATATTTGATTTCCCAAAGCAACACTAGTTGTGGCATGAACAGCTGTCAACAACAAGATGACAAGAAACTGTCATTAGATAGATTTGATCCACATTTGCTTGTCCTTTTTTCACACGCTTGCTCAGGAGAGGGTTTTCAAAGACAATTTCTAGTACAAGGTTTCCCTTATTCAAGAAATTATTTGAATTATTGGCCTACTAATTGAATTATTTGGCCCTAATATGTTATATACATGAGATACACTTGACCATCAACATGGATTCCAAATGGACAGTCACTGAATACCAAATTTAAGTACCTGAAAGTATCTGGAACATAATTTGTTCAATTCTGAAATCATCCTACGAGTTAGCTATTATAATCCTCAATTTTGTGTTTGTTTTTGAGACAGGATCTTGCTATGAAGCCCCAGCTGTCCTCAAACTTCTTGCCTCAGTTGCCCCCTGACTCAGTCTCCTCAGTGCTGGGATTACAGGCAGGCCCCATTATGCCCAGCTCTAAAATCCTCATTTTTAATATCACCATTTCTCATTATTTGTTGTGGTTACATTCTATAAAGTCAGTGCAAATGTTGAGTTATCAAACACTCGCCCATTATTCTTATGGGAAATACAGGTTTAGGCTCCTAGAAGGCACTGGTTCCAATATTATGGTCATCCAGTGACGGTATAACCTTATCTTATGTGTGTTTTGCAATAAAGACACCTTTACACATGTTTATGCAAAATACATTTTTTTTTTCCATGAGACACACCACATTCTTGTGCTCAGGAACACTAGATGGTACTTCGGGCCCATGCTGGAGAGCCCTGTAAGCAGTAAAATCATGAAGAAAAATTAAACACAAGTGTGGTATTAAATAGATCACGAAAAGGACACTTGTTTATAAGGTAGTATGACAGCTGAAATTAGCAGACGGAGCCTCAGTATGCCCCACAGTAGGCACCACTCAACTTTGCCACTTTGCCTATGTCTATGAAAGAAGTACATGGGGGAATAGGCAAATTCACAAATGCAGAAACTGCCATTAATAGGGATTAAGTATATATGGGAAAACTGAGAATCAGGGCATATGGCTGCTCTTTCTATTGCATTAGTGGTTGTATGTGTGTGTGTGTGTGTCTGTGTGTGCAAATATCAAAATGAGAGCATATTGAAAGTAAGAATTCCATGCAAAATGTGAATATCATGGCATTGCATCTTTCTCCATCATGATTTTTAGAAGAGATGCATTGTGTAACTTTCTTAACCTCTCAATGGTTCTGCCAGGTCTTCCAGGGATGTGGCCAGCCCAAACCTGCTCCAGGTCTCAGATCTGCCCGCTCAGCTCCTGAGAATTTTAACACACGTTTTAGGCCCTACAATCCCGAGGAAAGACCCACAACTGCTGCAGGCACAAGCTTGGACCGGCTGGTGAGTACTCTGGAATTGATGGCTTCTCTGGGTGCCTTCTCTTACCAAGATCATTCATTCTTCAAAACAGGTCATAGGATTCTAAAAATGTGGGTTGAAAATTCATCTCATTCTTATATTTGCTCCTGTTCTTAATTAGAACACTGAAAAGTAATAAGATCTTTCTTTTAGGGCAGAATCGATTATTTAAGAAATCTTATAACTATTAATCAACTGGTACAGTGACCAAATTTTCAACTACATATTTCTTCTGAAATATTAATTGGAAAACTGAGTTGCCCGTTCTTCCAGAGATAAAATTACAGTAACATATTTCTTATTCATCTACTTCAGTTCTTTTTTAAGGATGATTATTTATTCAATTATGATATAATATTACTTTATTATGACTTTTTATATGCAAAGCTTCCTATTGGAAAGTCCCTGCCAAGAAATCTCAGAGTTACTACATTTTTTCTTTATCTGCCTCTAAAAAATAAGAATCCTTAGAAATAGTCACCTATGAATCACTCAAATGTGTGTCAGGGACTGACCAGTCCCTATCACCAGAACAATTTGGAAGGTACAGCCATAAGCATAGCAAACAGAATTTTTTTCAGATGTATTTTAAAACCCAAATATGGCATAAAAAAGTTAAAAGCTCATAACTTCAAAGAAATACTACCTGATTACATTTAATTCAAGTCCTTCAATTTACAGTACTACAAACAATTTATATGCCTGTAACTGTTAGTGTTGCTTTGCCAATTATCTTGATGTAAAATTAACAGATTAAAAACCTTAAGTCATACAGAGTTTGAACTATATCTGACTGTAGCATATAAACTGAGATCTCAAAGGTTTCCTGTTATGAAAATACTTTTTGTAGTCACTGTTATAAATGACTTTATGATTTCAGTTAATATCTTTCTACAGTGTAGAACTCAAAAGATTAAATTGGTTGCATGTGACCTTGATGTAAATAGGTCTCAGACTTTCTATAAAAAAAATCAAATGTACTTACAACATAAAGTCTATCTGTGAAGTAGTTAACTGCTAAATTATGTTATAAATTTATTATCATTTATTAACAAATAAAATCCCTTCTTCAGCGTAGCTTTTCTGTATCAGTTTGGAATTGCTTCAACTTTCTGCTTTACCTTGCTTATATCTGTTTTCTGTCAGTATCAGGAAAAGTTTAAATTAATTACTCATTTTTCTTTTAAACAATTAATTAGCTTTGGCCAAACAAGCCAGGTGTTTTAAAGAATGATGGTTTTCTTTAGATTTCACTAGGATCTACTGCACAAATTGGTTTGTATGTCTTTCTAACTAGAAGCATAAATGGTGAGCTTGGGTTTGTCCCCATCCCCTACACTTTAGTTGGCTCTAACTTCGTATTTAGAAGAGTTTAGACCTCTCAGGATTTTTGCAAGATCCAATTTAAGAACTGGGAAATAATGTAAGATGAATAAGTCTTAGAGATCTAATTTACAGCATTGTGCCTATAGATAGAAATACTGTATTATACACTTTAAAATGTGTTTAAAAAGTAGATCTCATATTAACTAAAATGAACTGCAAGAAAAGAACGGGCATGCTTCATGCACTAAGTTAAAACTACATTGAATTTGAACAATAAAATGATATCTGTGACAACTAATTAACTTTTTCCCTTTGAAACAGAAAAGTACCATTTACTCTTTTCCTAGAGAGAAATAAACACCCACCCTTAAGCAAGGGAAGTAGAACAAGGAAAATATGTTTATGCTGTTTAACACAGTCTAGATATAACACACTGTGAGATTTTCATATGATGTTTGAAATATGACAGATACAAAACTGGAATTTGAACCTCTAACAGAAGAACTTAATTGGTAATTTTCAAAATACCCCCAAATAAAAGGATATTGAAAAGTACTGGCAGAAGGCAAACTGATTGAGGATCTTCTGTTTTAGTCACCCTCAAAATAGATATTTTCATCAACTTTTTTCTAAAAACAATTGGTAACAGTTAATCATCTGATCTAGAACCAGTCTCAGCACGTAGATATTCAAGCAACTTTATTCCAAAATTGCACATACTATTTACTTCCTTGTAGATGTGACTTCAGGCTGTGTGAGAAGAACAGCTGTACTAATTTTTATTGAATTGAAAGCCAATTCCCTCCCAAATTCTAAGAATGAACAGCTTGTAATTCCCAGCCAGCATAAACCCACTGACGCTACTTTCCAGGGCTCCTAGAGTGAGAGGCTGTGTCCACATCAGACAGAGATGTACCTCAGTGATTTCAAGAAACATGAGCGGGGCCCGAAGCTAATGTCAGAGTCTCCATTTGTTGGTTGGCTCCCCAGGGCCTGTTTCCCTTTATGGGTCCAAGATGGCTCTGAACAGTGAGGAGACACGATCAGTTTCCAGGAGCAGCGCCAGTGAACTATCCAGATGGACCTGGTATCCATTACAGCCTATCGCAACTGTTTATAAACAAGTCTCATGTTACCTACTCCTGTTTTAATTTTCCCCTGAAAAGATATTTCCTGAATATTTACAAGAAGCATGTGTCCCAGGAAAGGAGGATAATTGGAAAAGATTTCCCTTAATTTCTCTGTTTCAGCAAAGAAAATGCTTCAAAGGCTAGCATCAAAAGAATTCTCCAACCATCCCACCCCTTTTCCCTAAATGAAAATAGCTATGAGGCTCACTGAGTGTTATTTCTTAGTGCCATTTAAATTAGTACCTGTGGTAAATGGCACTAACTTTAGGCTCTGTTGGTAAATGTTCTTACATCAGTTGCTATTTTTTTGTGAACTAGTAATTAAGGGGTTTGTTTTAGAAATAAAACTTCCTACCAAGCTGCTACTCAAACTTATATAAAAGAAGTGAAAAGAATACTCTATTTTAAATATGTCAATTCCATCATTAAACCCCTTATTACATTTATAAGGAACTTGTAAAGTCTTTTATAATGAGGAAACATTTCCATTTGGCCCTGGAAATTCATGTGGGCCTAAAACACAGTTGAGGTAACAGCAGCTGTCAAACACACTACCCTAAAGTAATTTTTGCTCTCCAAGAATGAATGAATGTATTCTTATAAATGCAGCAGCTGATGGAAAGTGAACTCATCGGAAAATATCACAATCCTTCGCACGAATAGTCATGATTTGTCAAGGTATCAGTGAATATCATGGACTAATTCTGTTAACAGTCGGTGCCAGCTTTGTCTCTTTCTCTCCTTACCAATGCTCTATCCCAGCTGAAGATTAAAGATTTTCAGATAACTAGGCCAGAGGTGATCATTTGCATTCAGGGAGAGGTTGGTTCTCTTCCCTTTCTCTCAAATTTATATTCTATGAATTCTCTTGAATAATTTGATACAAAACTATCATTTTTTGCAAGAAAGTTCCAATTCACTGCAAGTAGAGAGTGTAAAAATAAATCAGCACAAAGTAGCTCCATTTTAAAGATCTGAGCATACAGAAGTTTTGAATTATCCTCTCTAAAAGGCAATTAGTTGTACAACTCAGAAAATTAGAGCACAATGCGCTGGATAGCTCCTGAACACACTTGGGCAGGGGCTATCTGTTACTTTACTCCAGCTCTTTCAATAAAGAAAATCAAAAGTACATTAAATTGTGTCCCTTAGCAGAATAGAGTTTATGAAAGTAAATTTCTTTTAAAAAGCCAGACATGACAGTTAGCTCATCAAGTGCGCAATGATTTAGACCAATAAGTTTGTTCTGATTGTGTTGATTTCTCTAATATCCTACTGGTCATGCTGAGGGTATTGAGGGTGGGGTGGGTCGAATGCCAACCTATAAAGCTAACCTTTGTACCTGTGCTGTGCTATTGTGTATAGAATAATCTCTTTTTCTTTTTCCTTTGAATCTGTTTTCCTCTTGCTTCCCAGAGGACTGTGTGGAGGACAATGCAGCATAGTGTAAGCCTTGGTCTTCTTATTTTCCTCTCATCCTCATTTGTCTCTGTACAGTCATTCTGGAAGGTTCCCAAGAAACTCCACCTCCACTTTCCCTTTCAAACTATCTGGAGCGTATTGAACACCACACATGGTCAACTTACTTAGTAGTTTCCTATCCACTTGGCATTTATAGTAAACGACCACTTTGGTATTCTCTCTCGATGGCCAAGTTTTCAAACTGATCTTTGTATAAGACTAGCTCATTTGGTGGCTGATTTAAATTCTGCCCCAATGTTCAGACTATTGTTGTCTGCCTGAAAAACTAGCTCTTCCCTGATAGAATATATTGGCCTTTTCTTCTTGTGCCGAGCGAATAATAACCTCACTAATAAGGAGACTGAACCAACATCAGCTCTCATGCATAAGGCACTAATTTTTCCATTAGCTGGGATATAGAGAATTTATGAGGTTAAGAAATAGTTTATGGTATAGGCTGTTTTGTCTTTTTTTTTCTCTCTCTCTCTCCTACTTGAGTTTACTGATTTCTTGTAGACCATTCAGGGAAGGAACACCAGATGTGTTTTATCTGAAAGTGGTTTGTACTGGGATTCAAGAACCCTTAGGTTATTTTCCCTGATGTTTTACGTTAACCAAAGTAAACTAGTAACTAGGTTATCTGGTCTGGTTTTCAAAGTGCCATCCCATTATGGTAACACTAGTTAATAAAGACCTGCACCCTCTGGCACTACCATGGACTGGGAGAGAAGGTGACCCTTGTCTGAGGAGCATGTTTATTTATTCATGCAGCACATCTGTGACGTACCCCATGCCTGCCACCTCTTAAATACAGGCAGTGCTAATGCTATGTCTAAAAGCCTTCCTTTGAAATTCATTTGTTTCAAAAGGAAATTGTCCCCTGAGTAGTGTTGTGGTTCATCATCCCAGCCCTCTGGGCCCAGGGCAGTTTGGATGAGATAAGAAAGTCTTGGGACAAGAGCGTTCTGAAAGGGAAGACCTTGGGGAAGCAACATGGAGGGGCAGATAGTTCAAGGCCTCCTGACCTTAAATGGGAAATGGGAGGAGAAAACATCAGGACTGAACAAATTAGGGTTCAGTTATTTCGGCTCAATAGATAGCTAGAACAGTTTCAGTTCACATGCTATGCCCCTCCCTTTCCAACACAACTTTTGGAGACATCCATTTTTCCAACTGAGCCAGTCTAATCTCTTTCTCTGATTGTTCCCATGGCCCCTGCATCTTTCTCTCAGGAATTACAGCTTCCCTGGAAACCTTAGAATGAATGCAAACTGTGCTACTCATCACTGTGTCTGCTTGCCTCCTATCATGCTTGGGCCAAAGAAAAAAGGTCTATATGGGACATAATTCTTCCAAAAGTGACTGCAACTTCCGAAATTCTTTGGTGTGTCAGTGGTAACAACTATGTTGCTAATGTTACTTGCAAAATGCCATCAAGATATGCACATATGGGCCGGGGATTTGGCTCAGTGGTTCCAGCACCTGCCTGGCAAATGCAACGACCTGAGTTCCATCCCCTGTACCAAAAAAAAAAAAAAAAAAAAAAAAA